CTACAGTTGTCTTCTTAAGATGCAGAATGAGGTTATTGTTAATTTGTTTATTCCTTTCTCTTTTTCTTGCTATAGAAACTGCTAAAGATTCTGCTTTATGATGTGCACTGAATTCATGTAGCAGCTTAGGATCTTTATGGCATATTTCAAGGTGGTGAAAACATACTGCCATGTTCTTTGGTCAGTAGGAAAAACCCCTTCTGGCAGTTACACTACTCTGGTTTATGGACCTGCTGTGCACAGTTGAATGTGTGCATCAGAAAGCACAGCTGGGTGTGGTGTGGGCTGGAACCTCTGCTCCGATGATTGGTGGTGGCAATGAGGAATGGGTCAGAGGTGCTGTGGATGCCAAGGTGATGATAACTTGTGCAGAATGGCTGCCAGGGGAGGTAGTGGGGTCACCATCTGTGGAGGTGTTCAGCAAACATGGAGATCTGATACTCAGGGACATGTTTTAGCAGGCAATATTGATAGTGGACAGTTGGACTGGATGATCTTTAGAGATCTTTTCCAACCTTAATGATTCTATGATTCTAAGAAGGAAGCCTTTTTCTGCAGTTGGCTTTGAAGCCAGGAGAAAGTCAGTTGAAGAGATACTAAATTCAATCCAGCAGATTTAGAAAAGACAGGTGAACCTATCTGCAGTCATCATTGGAGCAAATGACAGCAAAATTGTTCAAGTTGCCTAGAAATGTGAATGACTCACAAATATATACTGACAGTGAATGGAGAGAGGGCAAAGATAGCAGAGATATTAAAGTCTGAAGGGAAGGAAACCCATAAATTACTCCCTTCCCCATCTCCTAGGAGTGAGATAAAGACAACGGCTCAGGTAGATTAAGAGATTAATAGGAAGTGACAGTAAAAATGTAAAGAACAACTCCTTAAGAAATACCAACTGGTGAAAAAAAGTGTAAAATAGGCCTTAGAAATAGGTAATGGTAATGCGTAGACACATACCATGGTTAATTCATAGCCTTAGCTGTGAAAAAATCTTTATATAGATAATATTGTTAAATGGAATCTGTTCATTTTAATTCTGTGTCCAATAGGGCTGTCTCCATATTCTCCCTAATTCAGCAGAACACTTTGGTATGTACTTAAGCTGAAGTATGCAGAAGAATTCTTGTCCTTAAATCCTGTTACTATAGAAATTTAGCACATATCTAAGTGTTTTCTCTGACTAGATCTCTTAAAAAGAAAGTGAAAGAGTTAATTGTCACATATACTGTACTAATGAAAAATCCTAGTTTGGTGAAGAGTTCTAATACTCTATTTCAGAATAACATTGTTGTGTTTTGGTTTTTTTTCTTACAACTGCAAATCTCTTCAGGAATATGAAAACCAGTGTACTGCAGAAGCCAAGTTTGTAAAACAATTGGATCAATGTGAGATGATACTGCAGGCGCTTGAGTATGAAGAGCTGGAAAACACTCCTGGCAGACTGCAGGATTTTTATGATTCAACTGCTGGTATGGCATTTGTGTGTATGAACTTTTTGTGATTTCCTGCTTGTGGATTTTTTTTTCCCTCTGGTAAATGAACTATACAAATTGCCTTTTTGTTTCTCTGCATGTGGAGTGAGACTAGTTATTTTACTAATCTCTCAAATACCCATAGTATTTTGGGAAAAATACTGCAGTGTACAAATACCTTGCATTTATCTGTATGTATTGAACCAGAATCTCATTTATGTCAAGTTCTCTTTTGCATCACTTCGGTCTTGGAGAGACGCTCTACTTTTATTACACTAGTATGTGTTTAAGGATCTCCCTGTATCACTAGAGGGGTTTTAAGGGAAACTTCAATCTTCCCTGGTGCTCTGAGAGGAGTTGTTCCTATTTTGTTAGTGTTTCATGAACCAGTGAAGTTACATTTGTGAGAAACAGCCCAATGAGAGTTCTAGATGCAATTGTACTGCTTTTTATACTGCTTCTCATGGAAGGTAAAAGGTAAAATAGCTGTTGTCATGGTTTTAGCAAGGGATTTGAACACCAGGAGAAGACTGACTCCAGTTCATTTTGTCCTGGAAAAAAATAGAACAGACAAGCATATGGAGAGGAGCAGTGATTCCCAAAGGCAGTGACCCTGACAAGTCCTTGGGTGACTCCTCAGGAAAATAATGAGTTCTCTGAAAAATAATGTTATTTCAACATCAGGGAAGCTAGAATGCTTCATTTTCTAAGGGGCATCTTTGTTGCTACAGTAGCTTAAACTATAAGCTACTGTCTTGGTAAGTTTAGGGAATATTCCCTAAGTAAGTGCTCTTGTCATTGGAATGGTTTCCTGCAGTAGGATATGCAGCATTGGATTGTCTTAGTCAAGGTGCATCCCTTTTTCAGCTTCTGAGTGTCTTAACAGACCAAAAATATGCATATGGACATTTTTCCCCCCAAAAAACTTATAACTAATTTTAACAGTTATTCCATGTTTGGAATGAAAAGGGTCTGCAGTCTTTCTTGAAACAGAAACTTGGAATTCCTTCTGAGCCTTAAGCACTGATGATCTCTCATTGCCGGCCTTTCACACACAAACACAAAAAAATGAAGACATTAATTAACTTTTTCTTCCTCTTGTTTTGCAGGAAAGTTTGTTCACCCAGAAATACTCCACCTTGTATCTCTGATTAACGCAGAAAGGAATAAAAAAATAGCTGCTACATGTCATCCACATTCTTGAGATGTTCCTAAACACTGTAACTATATTAAAATATTTTTGTTTTACATTGTCTGGTGTTTTTCTCTCTCATAATATTGCTAATTCTGCCAGCAGATCTTTTTTTCCATGCATTCACTGCTGAAAATCTTGGGACCACTTACATAGGTGAGAAGTTCAGAGATTGTGTTAAGGACCAGATATTTAGAATGAAAGGTTTTGCTGTTGTTTCAATCAGCTCTCATGAATGTACTCTCACGAATAGCTGGCAGAGTTCAGGTAAGTTTGAAACTTATCTGATGGCAGACAAATGAGTTCATGTAATGCACTGACTGGGAAGGTAGTCAGTCCTGTGATGTCCGTGTGTGTGGATTTAAGCATGTAACTGTATGAGATGGGTTTGTAGCTGTTCACTGTTCTAGATGGAAGCAAGACCAATGGCCATGTTTGTCTAAGCTTGTCAAGAGCTTCCAGAGATGAGATTTGTTTTGTTTTTCTTTTAGGCATGTGATCCTGAAGTATTGATGATGGACAAAACTGTGGTAATCTGATTAATTACATTTTCCGAATACATTCATTGTTTCATGCAGTTTTTATACCATTTTGTAGTATCGAGGAGTGGTGCTGAGGTTTATGTTAAGACCTGTATGCCTTATGCCTCACATCAAACTGGTAACCTTACAGGCACTTGCAGAGGCAGTTGATAACTAAGGTTGGAAGAGGCCTTTGGAGATTGTACAGTCTAATGCAAATGTTTATACTACAGTGTAAAACTCATCTTCTCTTGTTCAAGCTTTTCAAGTTTGTTACGAATGACATTTATTAATGGAAATAATTATGCCAAACTGTGCAACCTGGTCTAGAGGGAGGTGGTGTCCTTCCCTATATCAGGGGGGTTGAACTAGATGATCTTTAAGATCCCTTCCAATCCAAACCATTCTGTGATTTGATGGCTATCATATAAAGCTGTAGTGATGTTAAATACCCAAAGAACACAAATGTATGTTATTAACTATTGCATCAGGAATGCAGTTGGAGTTTAAGGTGATGTTCCAATTGCCAGATAATGAAAGTTTGCACTTGGAAAAGTTATGGTAGAGACTTAGAGCTATTTTTTCTACCTATCTTCAGTTTTGTGTCAGATGAGGCAGCATAAAACTAAATTGTAATCCCTTTTTAAGGCAGGTAAGTTAGCTGAGTGGATGTCTTCAGGTGCTGTGACTCCAGGAGATTCCCCTTTACACAAAACTTAAGGGCCTGATGAGAGCTTGCACTGTGTTCTGCAGCTGATGCCTTTGGCAGACACACAGACTGCTTCACTCGGGCTGGGAGATTTTGCTTTAAGCAACCTGCACAGAGCTCAAAATCTGCAGAGCATCTTGGGCTAGAGGAGGTGTGAGATGACTGCTCTACACAGGGTACGTCCCAAAAGCAGCAGTTGTGCCCTGTAGAGACGCTGAAAGAACAGGTACAGTTTACTGAGCAACAGGCAGCTGATTAGTAGTTAGTTATTGATAGCTGATTGTTGTGCTGCAGGAATGGGTCCCACAGGGCTTTGTCTAGGGCCTGCCATTCTCCAGCATTTTTAGTCCACCAAGATATCTACAGTCATAGTCTTTATTGGGTCTTATTGAATGCCATGCATATGAGAGCTCTAGATGCTTTAGAGAGTAGACATGAGAACAATACTGACAAAGAAGAAAAGTAGTCCTGAAAAGGGGTTAGATGAGAACATGCAGCAGGTGCTGCCCCAGCAGGAACAGAAAATTCTTCCAACACAGCCAGAGGTTTTCCTGTCTGGCAATGCACAGTGCTGTTGGGGATGCAGGAATGGAAGTCTTTAAATTGTTCTCTTTATGAATGCAGCCAAAAAACAATTTAATGCTTTCCTCAAACCATTTTCAGTGTGTATGTATGTACATATAAAAATACATGGAGGGTTAAATCCCCATCCTGAGCTTGGGCTCCATGTTTTAACCTCGGTATGCCTTTTGACCCTGTACCAAAGGTTAATACTTTCAGATGCTCTTTGCCACATATTTCACCTTTACTGAATACTTTCAACCATTCTGTCTTTCAGATAGCAAAATTTTCAAAACCTGGGCCCCAGATTTCCATGGAAAATTTCAGATTTGGAAGGAAGTAGACAGATATAAAAACTAGAGGGATGGCTGATGATAAACTCACAGCATACTTCAATTCCCTGCTGCAAGCTTAGACAAGGGATATATATAACAAGGTGTTACTGGTGAATAAAGGGAATTAAAGAGAAAACACCAACAAGTAAAAGAGTAAGAGAAATTTATTTTTAATAAGAATATCAATGACATCATTTACACAAACTAAATTACCATTAATACTTTTATTTAAATTAATTCATGTTTATGCACAAAATCACTGCAAAATAAGCTAGCAACCTATCACAGAAAAACTGTACTAGAAACCTAATTCAATTTGCTTCCATGCTAAAAATCATGTTGAAGAGGCATTAAGAGTTCAAAGTTCATAATGTTCTACCAGACAGAAGTTAAGGGATTTCTAGCTGTCAAAACTATAACAAAAGCCACAATGAAAAAAAAATCACATAAAGCCAAGTTTCCTCACAAGGTTTTAAGCAGTCTGTAACATCAAACTCACTAACGCTGATCTGAAGTTTTGGCTTAAGCTCAAAACAAGCATCCATTTTGAAAGTAGCCAGACTGTTTTCCATTTTGTTTATCCTTTTGATGAAGCTGTGCTCATCTCAGTCTGGTGAACAGAGCAATGCAACATGCAGACTGACAAGTGCTCATTAAGACAGCAAGATACTGCCACAAGTGTGCTGCTCTTTTCTTGAAGAAATGTTAAGAAGATGCAAGAAAACATGCTGAATCAAAGCTCAGAGAGATGACTGGCTCTCGGTGATTAAATAGATATAATGCAGTTGGGATGCCCCATAATGAAGGACAAAATTTGGGACAAGAAATACCTACTCATCGTGTGTAAGAAATGAGATTCAAGCTAGCAGCTCTGAAATGTGGACTGAAGGCATGAGCTCTCTATCTTATGGCACATCTTTAATCAATTGCTGGAATTTATTCTTTCGCATAAGGCTGTATCTTGACTGAAACTTGTGCTGTTCAGTCATAAATAATTTACCTTCCCTTCTTTTTGAAGGGAAGATATGGAGGCAACATTATTGGAGGCTTCCCCTCCCCCCCACTTCCCTTTTTAATTAGCTTATGCTGTTGAATCTTATCAAACTACAGAGAGCAAGCCATGGAACATATTTTTAAACTGAAGCCATTCCAGCTACAATGATCAGCTTAAGTGGGCAGCTGTGATCAGCTTAGTTTCTATATGAATAACGAAGTGTCTCTTCCTGTCCTTCTTAACTCTGCTGACTAACTGGAGGGCAATGCCAGACCGTATCAGTGAAGGAGAAAAAAGCTTTTCTTGGGTGACAATAAGTTATTTTAATTTCACTGGGAAATAAATCATGTCCAGACACCCCAGATCGAAGGGCACCTGGTATGGCTGGTAGACAGCTGGTGTATGGACTATTGCTGGCAGCAGAAATCTCAAGGTCCATCTGTCTGCTGTAGCACTGATAGAGAAGCTGGAAACCAGGAGATAGAAAACTTTAAACTGAAAGAAGTAAGAGAGACTGGGAGATTGCTGGAGAGAAGTTAGGTGAAAATGAAACTTTTTGGTCACAATGTTACAGAACGTAGAGTGCTATGACTCATTTACTGGCATGTGGTTCCTATAGCATACAAAATACCTGATGATAAAATAGCACATCCAAAATGCAAATACAAAGAGGAAACTTTTCTCCAGCATGACGCCAGGGAGGCAGTTTTCCAAAACCCACAAAACTTTGTTGCACATGTTGGTATTGAGGGAGGTCTAGAAACCATGGCCTCGGTAAGTCTCTGAACGAGGCCTTCATCCTAACATTGAAGCTCTTCTTCACTCTCGGGAAGTCGGGTGCCAGCCAGAGAGCTCTGAGCGCTGGCATGGGCTGTGGAGCTGAGAACTTCTTCAAAACTGCCCCCAGTGTGGCCTGTTCCACCAACCTTGGTCTGTAACAAGGCAAAAAAAAAAGAGAACAGCAAGTTCCTCACATTTGCATTTCACTCCTTGGCCACAGAGCTGAGAACTGTTCAAAGCAGGCAGAGTGTGGCGGTGGTAGTTATTTTTAAAGAGCAAAAGTTACACAAATCATTGAAGTATTCCCTTCTGCAGTTTTTAGACTTCTCAATCAGAATCATAAACCTGCCTGTGGAATTCATGATAAACTCAAAGGAACTGACCCCCCTATGATCCAGTTAGGATCATATATCCTGCCATTGAACTTAATGTGGTTCTTTACATGAGTACCTCACGCTTATTTATCTCTTTTTCCACTTCTGCACAGACCGATGGGCACTGAAAGGAACTGGTATTTTTGCTGAGGTGAGTGGTCCATCCCCCAGAATTGGTAACATAACTAACTTCTCTCCAGCTATGCGAACCTTGGGGTGACTTTGGACTACAGAAGGAATTTTGTAACCGAGTGACCAAACCAACAACTCGCCTCCCTTACAATGCCTGTATGTATCTAGTACTGATATGTAAAACTACCCACCATATTTTCCTGGGAGAAAAAATATCCAGTTACATTAATGAAACACGACTGCTCACACGTTATCTACTTTCAAAAAACTACAGTTCACTGAATTTGTAAATATAAGTACTAAAACACAGTGTCACTTAAAGTCTGAAATAGAGTTTTCCTAATCAAGAAAAAAAAAAGCTTTATCCAAAGATTTGGAAATGACCAAGACCGTAAGAGGAGACAAAGCTCATTTAGAGGGTAGTCTTGCTAAGAGAATATTCTTTTGTGATTTGCCTTGCTGATATACCTGCTTTAAGCTGATTCAAGTCTGAAAATAGGGCAAAACTTTCTTACTCCGTCCCAGAACTGCAACAGGAATTAAAGAAAAGCTGGTATTTTTCCAGCTTGCCAGTCACCAAATGCTTAGGAAGATTACTTTAATCAAATGAACACTGTGTCCTAAGTTTCCAAAGGGTTAATCCTACATAATCCTTTGTTTTATCAGCAAGCACAGGAGCTTGCCTAGCTTGAAAGTTCAATAAAACAAGGTAGTAGAATGCTGGATTTGTGCTCTGACAGTTCGAGACACACTTACTAAAAGTTCCTGTTTCGAGGTAGAAGTCTGTATCCATTCTGTAAGTCAGCAGAGCTACTAGAAGATAGCAGTTTATCACCAATTTTTGTAAGTAACAGTACTATATATATAACAGTATATATAATTTGCTGGTTAGTCCAGAACTTGCAAGGAAAAGGCAGCAACTGCCTAGTAAAGCTATTATTAAGTTTTCACTGCAAAGCTCATGACTTTGTTTCCCAGTTTAAAAAGTCTCCACAAGAATGTTGATTCAAACTGATCAGAGTGGTTATGTAGGTAAAGACTGCTGCTGCACTGTTTCAAATAATTTGGATCAGTTGCATCTGAACTGAGGCACATAAAAATAATAATAATAAATGTAGTTTTATTTTCTGTTTGCTTCTCTGCCTACTCTTCCATGAGAAAACAAAAATGATGTGAGTCACTTTACTAAATGCTTCTGCCAAGGTCTCCAGTAATTGAATACAAGGAACAGTTCAGCGGTGTTCTGATTTTCAGAAGAGTTTAGGAGTCAGGCACTCGGATCCTGTCAGTCTTCAGGGGAAATGAACTAATACATTTCCCTAAGAAAGCTGCAACCCAAAATTCAACCTGAAGAGCAAAAAAAATCTAATTTAAAATTTGACTTTGAAATGAATGAAAGCTGAAAATCAGTTTTCATTGGTTACAGAACACTGCAGGACCATTGATTCTGTACCTAATATGAAAAACACATAAATAAATAATTAAGAAAAACTAATGCTGTTACTGTCTGTGGTCAGAAGCCTCTCTGGGAAATTCTTCACTTTTTCAGATCACAACAGGTCCCTAGAATCAAAGGGACAGCCTATACGTTTCCTCATGTAGGCCCTTCTAATCTTGCAAGCCACAAAAGGGTCAGGGAAAAGAAAGAACTATGCTGAGACATTCCCAGCTGTCTTCAGCCAGTGTTAGTGGCACTCTAGGGCCACAACTGCAGCTCCCTTTCTACATTTGCACAAAGAAAAAAGAAAGAAAGAGAATATAGACAGAAAATATTTCAGACAATGTCAGAGGGTATTCCAATAAAGTTGGGCAATTAACACTACATGGGATGTGGAAGCTGACTTTGGACTCGACTTTTTGTCTTGGCAAAAAGGCTTTAATCTGTCCCTCTCAAGTTAGCCATAGCTGTAGGACAAATGAGTTTATAGAGACTACAGGAGGCCAAATGCAAGCTTGGGAGCTAGACATACTGACAAGACTAAAAGCCCTGTGAGTAGGTTTAGTAGGTTCTAAAAAGCATTGTGTTTCTCCCATGAAGTTTATTCTAACTATCGAGTGGCAGGAAACAAACAAACAAAAAAAAATCCATTTCAGACCTCTGGTGTTCCAGTGACGATCTGTCTAAGTGGGCAGAGGTAGAAGGAACATGAAAACATAAGCGAGTGGAACATTTGACATCAACAAGCAGGAATTCAGACCTTTCAAGTTGTGGCATCCCACTGACGAACAATTTCTCTGACAGAGACGGTGAGCATAAAAAGCATTTGCAGCAGGTGAAAGAACGAACAGAAAGGTGTACAAAGCCCTGAGCTGAGGCTATAGAAGTCAGCATTCTGTTCTAGCTCTGCCATTAGACTTCCTTGGGATGCTGCCTCCCACCTGTGAAAATTTCCATCACTGACAAAGTGCAATGGAGATGACATCACTGCCTACACTACCATCATTTAAAACTGTCAGAGCAGCCTCTCTCTAAATAAACATGAACAGGTAAAAGCTGAACATGATAGTGCAGTTCAGCATCCTTTGATGCACAAGCTGATTTAGAAAAATAAAACTAAATAATTCTCCCTAGAACTCCATGCTTTCTTCAGACACAGCCTGGAAAATATTACCCGCTGTAGGTTTTCACATTGGTATGGAAAAAAGCAGACCTTCCTCATGCAACTGCTGCTTCAGTTGTAGTGGTAATCTGCATTTTATGTAAGAAGGAATGCCTGTCCCAAGTGGAAGGACACCTTCTTGCACTTTAAAGTTTTATAAGTTTTAATGTCCATTGACATTAATCCAGTATAGTCAGTTCCACCTAAAAAAAGGTACTAAGTTTTGCCCTTGCCCACTAATGGACTGTACTCAGAATATGTTGGAATCATTCTATAGCAGTAAAACACCACTTTATGGTCACACTTTATCAGATGAAAAAGAACCATCTGAAGACATCTCTGAACAAGAAACCTCTTGTTCTCATTTTTCATGCTGAAAAGATTAGCTCACTGCAAATTTGCCATTCGCTCTCCTGCCTTAACAAGTGTTATTAGTGGTGACTGATAACTCTGTCATCAGATCATCTAACAGCAAATATACACACATATATATAGTTTGGAAAATTTAAATTCAGACAAAGCATTGAAATTAGAGAGGAAATGAAGAACTGTATCAAGGAAAGACTGCTTCACAATTAAAACCCACACAGGTGGCATGACTTAAACCAGTTACATGGCAGCCCTCACCAGCTGAGCATGCAGCACTTGGCAAGTAGGTCTCCAATGCTGAAAGGACTTGAGTTCACTATATAGGCAAAAAGCTGTGTCTGTCTGGCAGGGCACAGCACAAAGTTCTTAAGAGCATATCACTTTCAAAATCTGACCCTGTGACTCCACATGGCTCTGTCTCATGCAGCATAATCACATGGTCACACCTGAGATATCTCTACACCTTGGTACAACCATATTTTTTTTTATATTTTTGAGACCACTTGCTTACTTTGGTAGACAACAGAAGTAATTTTGTAGTAGTGAAATAGAGAAAGACTATTTGTTTCTGCATATTGTCTTCATTTTCTATTAGTACTCTTGCAGTTCCATGAAATTCTTGATGGAACAGCACATTCAATCAGTTTCCCACACAAATGATAGAAATGTCTTTAAGCGCGATAGATACACTTCAAGAAGAGCCATGTAACTCAGTTTCTAATCATTACCTTAAGGCTTGTGACAGTGGTCTCAACCTTCTCTTCAAATGATTTGAAAGTGGGAGAATTCCTAAGAGAAAAAGAAAGTTGAAGGAAGGAGTCAGTTGCAAATTTAATGAGGTAACTTTGCAATTTTATTAATTTTCACCAGGCAACAATGGCAGAAAAGAGTGAGGACTGGCTGGCAGCACAGGGCTGTAGACTGGTAGGGTATGAACAATCACTTGCTTTACTGTAAATCAAATTCAATTAAGGTAATCAGAGGAGTATTTTTTAGCTACCAATTTGCAAAAGTTGAACCTCCCTACTAAACTAGAGACTGGTTTGACTGTTTTCTGAATCGTGTTCTAAAGTGAGAGTATGGATCCCCATTGAGATCCATATCCAAGGGCCCTCTAGTTGCTTAGAAAATGTCTCTTTCCCCCTCTTACCAGCAGCTTCCCCACTGCTGAAAAATCCATCTTCCATTCCATATGGAAATACATACTAGAACTAAACAAGCTGAAGTACAAAAGCTTGTCTCCTCCTCTCGTGGTTCAGCCAGCACAAAAGACTTGGACAAATTGACAGTGGGTAAAGGGAGTTTGCAGTCTAATATTCCCTTCTGCTTTTCTGCTCCTTGCTTGACAACGGCAAGCTCAATTATAGCATGCTTTGTGCTTCATTATTAGCTCAGAGCCTCCACTGTTATTCAGCAGGGTTCCTCTTGTTTAGTAAAGGGAGTACAAAACAAAGAGGTAACAGGAACTCCCTAAGCCCAGTACAGCATAATGAAGCAGTTACTTAATGATTTAGTTCTCAGTTTTTTTTCCACCTACTGTGGTATACCAAGTTTTCCCCACATGCTTGGTAGGGAGCAGCAGTATTAATATATTTAGAGACTGAGAGGGTAAAAAGAAAAGTAGATCTTAGTTTTACTGAAAACATTAAGACCTTTACTTCAAGAGACATTGATATTTGGCAAGTCAAGTGAAGCATGATTACAGCCATTCAAATACAAAAGCACTCATAAAATCCTTGCATAGGTGCATGATCCAAAGGGAGTGCAAAGCATTTCTGACATTAATGGGCATTGGATGATGTTCTGGAGACAGCAAAGCAAATGATTTTCAGGTTCAGTAATACAAATCTGATAACATTCAACCACTCAAATACATTTCAGAACTGCTTCCTTTACTCAGAAGATTGAACCAGACGTAAAACAGTTAATGCAATTAAAAAAAAAAACACAAAAAACACCTAACAACAAAACCACAGATGGCCAGTCCTGTGGTCCTTATCTACATGAATAGCCTTAATTGATTGAAATCATCTGACTAAAAAGTGCAGGATTAGGATCAAAATATGCAAATCCCTCCTCATTAGAATATTGAACATCAACATAGAAAGTACAATATGAGTAGAATATTACCTCATTGCAGGCATGCTTATGGAATGGCGAATAGAATAGCTGTGGGATGAAAGCAAAAGATAAGAAAAAAGCTGTAAAATTCTGTTTGCAACATGATTATAACTCACCATTTTTTTAATATCTTGAATACATATTTATAGTGCAAGTTAATATAAGAGTAATGATACTCCACTCCTGATGGCAACAGCTTGTCAAACTCACCTGAAATCCAGTTCACCTTTGGCACCAAAGATCTTACCACCACACTCTCGTGTCAGCTGAACAGCAGTTGCATAAGGCTCAAAAAATGATGTAGAACATACCCTGGCAATATGATTTAAAGGATAGAGAACCCTGCCACCTACAAACACATGCAACATGACAGAAGAACACAGAGCATCTTTATATTCCTCAGTCACAGATAATACACTCTGTACTGGGTGAATACAGCTCAGGTTTGTGAGCCTGAACACTGCTCATTCAAAGCAGATGGTAAGCAGGCAGCTGTCTAGCTTTGTTGCATGTACAATGCATATGGCCCAAACAGCCAACACAAGCTCCCAATTTTCAGAGCTTCATGCACAAAAAGCTATCTAAACAAGAGGTTACTTCAACAGAGACAACCCTCACAGCTGCAGCAGTTCCTGTCCCTATTTCTCTGAGACACTTTACCCTTTCCTTTACACTTCAACTCCACCAAGTGTAGAAAGCGCTGTTCTCCACAGCTTCCATCCCACTTCTATATGCCACACTTTCTTCTGTCCTCAGACTTCCCAGCAGCACACATATTGGAAGGTTGGAAGACAAAGGATGGATTCTCCAGAACACCCAAAAATCCTCTTCTATATCTCTAACCCTGCAGCTGGCTGCCCATCCCAACCTCTTGAGTTAACTAGCCACATTCTCCCAGCTGGGCCACCAAGGTCAGCTCTGCTGTTACAACATCTGCTGGGAAGCATCAAGCCTATCCTGAATGTTCTCTATTTGAAGTGCAAGAACTATTCAAAATTACATTTGTGTCTGAAAATTATGATTAAGTTGTGCATAGCAGAAATATGTATTGTTTCAAAAATCCATGTATGGTTACTTTCAGTGTTGCCTGACAGCTGCAGCTTGGTCTGACTGAAAAGAGTAAGAGTTTTATGTGATACCAATATACGGCTGCAAACAAGTAAAGTGTGATTATAGCATTAAAAACAAAAAAAGAGCACTCATACATATAAACAGCACATTTTTTTTTCTAAACCATACCAATTCAGAGAGATACTGTGTCCATAAATAGCCAAAAGCCATTTTTTTCCAGATTCAAAAATAGGTGTCGGGGGAAGAACAATTTGGCAAGAAGGAGAGGTGGTGAGAATCACATAAACCATTTCTGCTGTACGTATTTCAAGGCTTTGCTCAACTCAGATAGACAAGAACTAATAGCAGATAATACAGAGTTTTCATGTTCAATTTTTCACATCATTTTTCAGATTTATGAGATTGGCCCAAACGCTTCAGGAGTGCAGATCTTTAACAATTCTAGTTAATTGAAACAAGCATGTTTGCCATGTTAGTCTCATAACACATGACAAACTGGCAGAAAATAAGCATTTGGAAGTATTTCAGCATAGATTGCTCTTCTTCTAGTAGCAAAACATTTCAAAGCTCGGAATAAGAAGATTACATTGCGCTTAATTAAATTTGCACAGCAGAGAGATGGCATGTGACAGACAATCTGAATACTAAGTGTGCATTTTACTGAGTTCATCTTTTATTTTCTTTAAAAAGGTGAGGATGCAAGTTATAGGAACAGTGACAAACATGTTAATGCTTTACCAGAAGCCTCAAACAGAAAGCTTTTCTAAAGGCACTCGTATCAGTGATGGTAGGAGATGGTAGGGGCTCAGTGCAGAAGCAAAGGAACAGAGATCTTTCATGACAAAGACTGCTAGGTGCTAATTTTGGTTTCATGTCAGAGTGAGACAGAAAGGTCAATTTATATCACATTTTGAAGTTTTCATAGTGAAGAGCCCATGTTTGGATGACACTTGGCTGGATAGAGAAGGTTTTCTTGAGCTGCCCCATGCACTGGCAATGCTACGAGGCCAGACAGAATGCAGGGACTCATGGCTGTGCAGGGCCCCTCTGTTGGGTGGAGCTGACGTCAAGCTAACTGCTTACAGAATCTTTCAACAAACATTATTCATCATATTCTGAAGTGCTTTGAAGCATCAATATATTCAAGCTCCAAAGAAGATAAAGACCCTGTTTTACTAATTAGGTTAAGATCTTGTCTTACCTTTGGAAATTTTCCCAGGACTACAGACTTCTAAACAGTCAGCATGCACACTTCATGGCTAATACAGTTTTACGTTATTGATGAGATGGTAATTTTTTTTTTATTATTATTTTTTATTTTTTAATGAATCTTCATAATATTCTGCTGGCTGAGCTGATTTTTTTTGCAGAGCGTTTGCTGTTTATGTTCTAACCTCTGACAGAAAAAGACAGTTAAGGGAATGGGATTACATAAAGGTAGGTTTTCCCAAGAGCAGCATTTTTAAGTGCATTCATTAGTTGAATTTAAGACAAAACTACTTAAGTGCAAGGCAAACTCACTCTAGGCATTTAGTCCAGTCCTTTCCTCATTACACAAACTACACTTTATAAATGAGGTGTTACACTTCATGTAGCTAATTTTTTAGAATACACATCAATGCTGAAAAGAAAGAGGTTACTGTGTTACCTTCCATAAAACAAATCTTGCTAAATATAGAGGCACCATTCAAGGAATAATGTGTCTTACCTAATAGAATGTGATCTTTGGTGGATGCACAAGAAAAGAAAAGCAAGAGTTAGAAGTATTACAAAGATGCAGTAAAAATATACATATATATATCTGCAGCATGCCAAAGTGCCCAAGGAAAAATAAAAATCATCCTCATTCAAATCTCGATGTTGGAATTTGCACTACACTATGAATCAGCTTACATTCCTTCAAGGCAAGAATTTGCACACACTCCTTCACCACACAAGTCACACACTGTGTACAGCAAGAAGAAGTTGTGCCTGCTAAACTTTGCATCCTCACTCTTAAATCCGGTTTAACCAACACTACCTGGTTTCCTTCCTCAAGTCCTACCTTAACTTCACTAAAGAGGAAGTACAGGCTAGTTTGAAACTTACATGTACAGCAGCAAACACTTGTTTTTCTTTGCTGCTTTTTGGATTTCTTAATTATCTCTAAGTTGAGGCAGGTACAAAAATAGAGAGCATTTTAATTCCTAAATTGACATTTTCTAAAATACTTCTTCCTCGTTTAAAATAACACTTGAAACTCTTTGACACTGCTTTCCGCCTCCCAGGAAACTTAATTAAGGCAGTAGAACTAGGAGAGTCACACTGATATACGATATTTAAAGGATGTCATTAAGGTTCAGAAGTTGAGAAACAATGAGGCGGACTGCCTCTCCTTCATCAGTGTACTACTGATGCTGCCTTTAATTACAGACACTTCAAGGGAACACCTGCATCCCACAGGGAGCCAGAGAGGTGGCACACATTTAATGAACATCACTGCAGTGGTTACTCTCTTGACATCTTTTTCCAGTGTGTGGTGCGACGTATTATTTTCTGCACACTATTCACACCTCATTCTGAAGGAAAGCAAGGATTTCTTCACTGATGTTTACAGGGCTCATTATCTCGTATACTTGCACTTCTCAAAAATACATGGATTTATCTGCATCTCTCATCTTTTCTATTCTCGTCATTCAGCCCCACTGAAAGCACTGATAATTGTTCTGATTCTCTTCCACGTTTATTCCAGTTCACTTGTACACCCTGCACTGACACAAATACCTCAGCTGAAGCCCTATCTGAGCTGATCAGCGCAACTCCCTCCCAAACCTTGGATATACAGCACTCTTCAGGAAATGCTGGAATTAAACTTTCATTAGCAGAAGTAGCATGACAGCATGGACTCATGCTGCATTTGCAAGCCACTAGCCCAGCACATACCAAGTTCTTACCTTAACTGCAGAGCTGATCAGCTGGCTGCTCTGTACTCACCACCTCTGCATTTGATTTTTTTCATCTGTTAGTGCACTTTATTCCTCCTTTCATCAGATTTTATTTTAACATCTAATATGGAATTCTAACCTTGCTGTCTAAAGAGCCTGCATTTCCTTTCACTGCAGTCAGCTAGGTGGTTTATGTGTATGCATGATGCCATCATCTAAGTCAGCAGTGGAATTGCTGAAGTGTAACAGACTCAGGACAGAAGCCTGCTAAATCCTGTGTCACGATGAACTATTGACTCCTATTCCTTGAATGTAATTGTCAACTCCCTATGCCCTCTTCCTGTTAAAGCAGTAACACCTAAACTATACTTCTCTAGCTCATTTAGAGAACTGTGAAAAGAGTAGGCAGAGCCTTATATAATTCAGGTTCCCTCACAAACCCTGCCCCTAACTCTTCCTCTATGACAGGTGGTGGTGCCAGTTTAAGGCAATTGTCTTGACAAACCCATTTTTGATATTGTCATTATGCCATCATCTAGATGCTTAAAAAGTAACAGATTAATGCTTTCCCTTAGCATCCACTCATCTCTCTGAAGGGAAAATCATCTGCCTTCATCATTCCACAAACCTCTCCCTGCCTGCACTCTTCCACGTGTGTCTTTCAGCTTCTGGAATAAGCTATCACACTACCCTCATTCATCTTCAGAGTGGGCTCTGAAGGAACTGAATTTGAAAGGGCTCCACATGATCATGTAATTAAAGAGAAACGTACAAGACAGCTGAACGAAGAATGTATAAGCAGTATAACTGCTGCTATCCTAATCTTCATGCATGCCTTTGTTAGTTTGATTGTCAAATAGATTTTCTTGTATAGCAATGTACGTAGTGCATGGTGTACATACAATATCAAAATGTATGCAGTTTCCTTACTGCTGTGTCATCTTGTTGTTCTTCTTTTAAAATAAACAAACAGACAAAACAAACAAATCCTCCCACTTGGTATGACAATTTCTATAAAAGCCATGAGCAGAGCTGAAACTGAGATCCACACAGACAGCTGCAGAGCAGTCCAATAGTATTACAGGAAAAGATCCAAACATTGCCAGTATGCAGGTAGTAGAGCTCCTCAGCCCCATGTCACGTCTCTGCTCAACATGGCAAGAGACTGAAATGCCCAAGTGTCTGGGCCCAGATCTCTCTGAAGCACACTACTGCTCTATAAGAGACCTGGAACTCCCTTCTTCTCCACTGCCTTCCTCCTCCATGTCAGAAAACATTAACAGAAATAATACGAGATGGAGGTGAAGTGGTAAGAAAATCTGGTGGCAACAGGCTGACTATAAGACCATTCAAAATCACCATTGCCACAGATGGGGTAAAGAACAAAAACACCAGACTCTAGAACATATGGAGAATTACAATGATTATCTAGATTTTATAAAGCAGTTTCAAGTGTCCATGCTGAATGAAAGCAGAACCGGGATTTGCATCTGGATGCCACTGGTGAGCATCAGCCTTAATGCCTAAGCAACAGAATTAAGCCAGAATCCAATGTGTGTTTAAATCAGCATTACAGAAAGGGGAAAAGGTAATGCATGTGCTTGATCGCTGAAATAAAATGATTTGGATTAGCAAAAAAAAAAAAAAAAAGAAAAGAAAAGAAAAGAAAAGAAAAAGCAAACAGTGAAACAATGAATACATGCCTTCTTACAGCTTATTCCTCCAACCATGGCTAGCACTGGAGTAGGAGAAAATATTTTTAAACCAAGCCATTTAAGTGGTAAGGTTTACATTGCAACCCCTCACAGAAATGTATCTTATGCCAGCTTCATTGCTGGAGAAAGCAGATAGTTATTCCAAATTTAGGGTATTTAGCAAATGTAGCATGTCCAATTCATGCTATGCTTCATGTAACTAGGGGACACCAGCTCTGGTGCTTGCTTCTTTGTGTTATGTGCCTGGAAAACAAAAACAGCATGCCTCCAAAAAAAAAAAAAAATAAGGTAAGTTCATATTTTCCTAAAAATTTCCCAATCACTTTTGAGGTAATGCTTTTTATCACAGAAAGCTACTAGAACAAAGCTTATTGATTAATTCAAATGCTTATGGACTCAGCCTCTTGGCTAAAGGGCTAATGAGATAAATACCACCCATCTGCTTTCCAAGTGTTAGTCAGAAGCACAATCACCATGGAGTGGTATTGACAGGGAGGAGAAACTAATTTGATAGCAGTCAGTAATTAAGGGCAATATTAAAAGAAAAACATGTTCTATTATAGTGAAGACATTTCTGCATTTGCAGAAATTTCACACCCTACACAAAGCACAGTAACAGGACCTAATAAGTACTGAATTGTTGGTCATCCTTCCCTCTACCTTCAGGAACCAGTGTGCACATCAATTCTGATCCCTGCTGTAAGGATCCAAAGCACAGAAGCAGGAGCACTGTTCACCAAGCACTGGCTTTGTCTCTGTTACATGAGTAAGTGTGAGGAAAGAACACAGGATGAAACAGAGTATTTGTGTGCCACATGGAGCACAAACTCCTCATCACGAATTTCCCAAATATACACAATACAACTATGACAGAAGGAAAGGCAGTAAGAATAAATAGTGGTAGAAAAAAAATGTGAAAAACTACACGCAGCTAAGCCTGAGGCTGGAAAAAATATCATAAAACCCCAGGAAATTGTGAGTAACACAAAAGACAACATTAGGACTATATTCAATATTTCTCATACAGAAGACCCAGAAGGTATGAAAAGGAAGACAAGGCATATATACTAAGAGATGTTTAAAGCGTATGAAGTCAAACAGCTCGTAGCTTATGTTCATAAGCTAGTTGCAAACCACTGACTAGATTTCCATTTTCAACTTAAATGTGGAAACAAACATTGTAAGGCAGATAATATTGTGATGAAGATTTTCTTTTTTTTTTTCAACTTGCATCTAGAAAAGCAGTAGTGCTTTCATAGAGGTTTTGTTTGGCTGTATGTAAAAGATAGACATGACTCTAAAGATTTCAGAAGATTCAGATTAAGAAATGAGTGGGGAAAAAAGAATTGCATTAAAACCCCCCAAAATATTTGAAGTACTGTAAAATGAACTAATGCAATGAAAATGACAAGAAAGTAAGCGTACACTAGTATCTCTAACAAATGAGACCCTAATTCTAATATTCAAGTCCATTTATTTCATCACAAAAAAATAAGTCAACTCCAACAAACACCCAAGAAGAAATTCTATAATCCTGCTGCCAAACTGAGAACTTAAGTGTTGATTTACAGTTTACAATTTCTTCTTTTGTGCTCTCATTTTGAGGAACCTTAGGTTTAATACTTTCAAAGATACAACAATATATGAACACTGATATTTAAGTACTTAAATGGTAATTCTTCCTCTCAATCTCCATTATCTCCATCACAGTTTATCTGTCTCCTATGATGAAATGGATCAAAGAAAAAAAGAAGAAAAAAAAAAAGGAAAAAAGAACAAGGCAGTAAGAATTTGCTAAATAATAAAAATCCATCTTCAGGATGTGGCGCTACTTTTGTTACATCCTTTGTACATCCTGAAAGAGATGATAAAAAATAGCCTGAAATATTTCTTTATCTTTCCACAAACATATCTACAGTATGCTTGTTTTTCTCAGATGATCTTTGTGTCCATAATGTATGTATGAGTAAAACTGGGTTAATAGAGATCTTACTGCAATATTTTGTTCCATTTTATTGTACATTTCCTTCAGTTGCTAAGTTGTTCCAAAAGGATTATTTGTTTGTTTATTGATAAAAACAGGACTCAAGTAAAAATGTTACCTTCATTCATTATTATCCCTTCTTTTTGGTTCAAAACAATGAAAAAGTTGTAAAATACTCCAACTACTTGAAACATAAGAACACTAATGTAGACCAGAAAGAAAAGCTGATAGGCTTTTATGGTGTTTCTCCTCAAAGTAAGGACAGTGAAACAGCAGCTCCTGTACCTCATATCTCCGAACTTCTTGCTGATAGCAGTTCCTACATTGCTGATAGCTGCTGTTGCTTTTTGTCCTGCATGGCTCAGGGTCTCATGTGTCTTCTTGTACCTGGAAACAAAAAACAAAGAGCAAAAATAATAATACATATTTTAAAAAGAGAGACTCAAATGCTCTGCAATTAATTCCCTCTTTCCATCCTTCTACATTTTAAAGTCTCATCCACGGAAAGGCTAGGAAACACAGTAACTTGCACAAAACAAATCACAAAGGTGCCCACTTCTGCATAGCTTTGTAAATGCAGTTTAATCCTAATACGGGCAAAGCGCTCTTCCTTTCCCCATTGCATTTAATGTCTTCCAAGAGAGTAAGCAAAAGCTATTTAAAAGCAGAATGCTGTGATCTATTGAATACCTGCTTTATATAGTTTCTGTAAATTCACATCAAATAAGAATTCTTTTAGCAAACACCAACTTTCTGTCACAGAAGAATCAGGAAACATAGAACTCTGCTCTTTCATGTATATACAGATTAGAAACACACATATATAAATTAGATATTAGACTTCAAAATTATTTACTGATATTTCAGATTAGACAAAATAGATCTCATCTGTTCCTTTATGTTATAATTTTTGTACTTTTTAATTTTTCAGAGAAAAGGAAGAAGGTTTGATAAGAGAAAGAAAGATGAAAAAATCCAGACAGTGAATGCATATCTAAATAGCGTTGATTCCTTTCTGAAGTCACTCAATTCATGTATAGCATATACATTCAAACACAGAATCTTCTTCATTTACTGATTTAGGATATATGCTCTGCTCTACAAAGACCTTTGGAATGGTTAATTCACATCCTCAGAGTAATCAATAAGTTTTTCTGTATAGATGCTTTTTTTACTGAATAAACTAACTTTAAGCTCGTCAGAGGTTTCTTTCTAAGGAAATTATCTGAAATTCCCAGTGACGCAGACAAGCTCATAATTGGAAATACTGACCTAGTAACAAAAGCAGAGCACATCAGAAAATTACACTTTGTATCCCGTGGCGCGCCTTGGCAGAGAAGAACTGCAGAAATGATCATGAAAAATTCAGAAGTACAATTCCATCAGTCATACTTCTCTTTGAACAAGTTTTATAAGATCGCAAATATGTACCAAAGTACACCAGAGATTAATGCAAAAATCCCCTGCCTAAGAAAGCAGAGTGCTTTCTTCTAACTTTTAGACATATGAAAGCTATATGTCCTTGTGGAGACAGGAAAAGTAAGAGAAGACCACCATTTGCAATACTGCACATCACTTTTTTTTTTTTTTTTTAGCCTTGGTAGCATCTTCTGCTGAAAGTCTTTGCTGAGGACTATGCTGTAAAAACTGTAGGTCAGAAGGAAGATACTGAGCAATGTGGTATTCTTTCAGACCATATTCTGTCAAAAATAATTTTCCCCAGTACAAATACTTTGATTTTATGTCCCTAAACAGTAAAATATCTTAAAGACTGCCTAACAAATTCTTAAACTGCCAAGTGAAACGTGTCATTCTGTGAAGGTTTCCAATGAATAGAAAAACAGCTTAAAGAAAGGATCTTAGACTGAGATACCAGATCTCAAAGAGATCTACAGTTTGTTAGATAACTTGAATTAAACTCAAGCACTGAATCAGAATGGTAACAAAGGCTAAAACATTGCAACAGTAAGGGAAGGAGTGCTGGTTACACTGTTTTTTTTGTTTGTTTTTTTTTTTTTTTATTATTATTTTTATTTTATTATTAGTTTTTATTATTATTATTTTTCAGGGGTAGAATACAAAGAAAATGAAAGAGATCATTTTGGTTGGGTTTCCTTTCCCTGCAGCCCTGCTGTTTCCAATTGGACACAAAACTGCAGTGCTCTTATTTCACCAAGGCCTCATTCTGCAGCTCAACTAATTTAACCTCTGTCATTCTAAGTGGACATATTTTCACCTCATAGAATACAGAGTCACTAAAATACATGTTTATGATGCCTCATTTAAACTATGAGCACGTACCTTCTTGATAAGTGTTGTCTACAAAATTCTATGTATATATTCAATGAAGTTAATAATGTAAAAATGTATCTAGGAACAAATACTATTAAAGCACAAATTGACAGTAAGAAGTAAAGTACTTTGCAGAACTCATTCTGAGATATTTTTTGAACAATACACTTCACAGTATATTTTATGCATGGACATGTTTATATTGGACAGTATCTCCATGTCTTGCCTTTGCACTGCAGGTTCCTCATACTACATAAACCTATTGAGAGAATAGTCCCTAATGCTTCTATCCAGGAGAGAGGAATAATTTCAACTATGAAACAGGAGAGTCCCTTAAACATTTCTGAATTATAGCATTGCTTAGGTTGGAAAAGACCTTATAGATCATCAAGTCCAACTGCAACGTAACCAAACTACCCTAACTCTAACAACCTTCTGCTAAATCATGTCCCTGAGCACCACATCTAAATGGTTTTTAAACACATTCAGGGATGGTGACTCAACCACCTCCCTGGGGAACCTATTCCAGTGCTTAACAACCCTTTCTGTAAAGAAGTTATTCCTGATATCCAGTCTAAACTTACCCTGGAGCAACTTAAGGCCATTTCCCCTCATCCTGTCACCTGTCACCAGTGAGAAGAGACCAGCCCGCTCTCACTGTAAGCACCTTTCAGGTATTGGAAGAGAGCAATAACGTCTCACCTCAGCCTCTTTTTCCCCAGACTAAACAGCCCCAGTTCCTTCAGTCATTCCTCATATGGCATATTCTCCAAGCCCTTCACAAGCCTTGTTGCCCTTCTTTGGACCTGCTTCAGTACCTCAATGTCCTTTCTTTATTGAGGTGCCCAAAACAATACAGTATTTGAGGTGGATAATGAGTACAGGGCGGGATTACTTCCCCAGTCCTTCTTACCACACCATTCCTGATACAAGTCAGGATGCCATTGGCATTCTTGGCCACCTGGGCACACTGCTGGCTCATATTCAGCTGACTGTCCATCAGTACACCAAGCTCCCTTTCTATCAGGCAGCTTTCCAGCCACTCCTCCCCAAGTCTGTAGGGTTGCCTGGGGTTGCTGCGACCAAAACATTAACACTGTTGTGACCAGAACATTAACTTCATCAAAAAACACCTTTTGGGAACTGGTTGCAATGACACTGATTATGGCATTTCAACTAATAATGTATGTTTTTCTGTAAATCCTTTAAATAAAAAGTCTTCCTCAATATTTCTACTAGTAAGAAAGACATGGAGACTGTATTTATGCTCCTAATACTTCTGATGTTACACAACAGCATAAATCCAGCTAAGACTGTTATGCAACTGGTCTTTTTTCAGCATCAACTGGCAAAAATGACCTTTGACGTGAACTCCCCCATTCTCTCTAGTAATGCTGAAGGAGCTTTAAGGAACAAAAAAGCAACAAAGGTAAAAATGCTGTGAAACATGGAATGCCTGGCAGCAGAGACAAGAAACAACAGCTTTCATCACCAATGATTACCTTAAAAATCAATCTCCCCCATCCTTGCCATATTGGTGATGTGCACCATTCGTATCACCATGTCTTCTTCATAAATAAATGACTTTTCCACAGAGCACACTTCCTTACTGTAATTAATTATGCTCTTTATTTATATTCAGAGGAGTATTTTGGTTCAGACATTTTTTTATAGTTACATTTTATTTACGCCATTCATTTGATACCTTGCCATTGTTACTATTTTAGTACAGATGGCCTCCAGCATATTCTTTCTGATCTCTGGGAACCTTCTCAATTGGATGCAACACCAATAATAGGAGCCAACAATGTTCACTTTTTTACATAATGCATTGCTTTCCTACAGCCACACATCAGCATCACGGCTATGATTCTAAAAGCATTATGCCACATGTCCTGTAGCATCAGCAGAAGCAGAAACAGACTAACTGGATACAGGAGTCTCTTGATTTATTCAGTTACAGCAGGAATGCCTTCGCTGTTTGTGTGACACTTAAACATTCTCCATAGCACACAACAATTACTTGTAGTGAATAACAAGGGTTGGATTTCATGCTTCTCACTCAGCACACACTAGTAAATACTTACACTGTATTTTGTAGACAAAAAGATTAAACAGATACTTTATCCAAACTGTAAAACTGTGAATCAAGCTCATTGTGACATTACAAATTAACATTTTTTCAGATTACTTTTACCTGAGAATTGTATCCATAAATTTATGATTATAATTTGGATTTTAAAATAAGGAATATCCTTTACAAAAAAAGAAATTGTCAACAAAACTGATATTATTAGAAGTTATCATAAAATATGTTGATATGGCACAGTTTTATTCTGCTGATACATGCTTCCTAAAACATGTAAAAGCAGCTTACATCTCCAGTATTGTAACATACTCTGCTGACAGAGAGGTTTATACCATATTTTGAATGCATTTTTACCTTCATATAAGGCATTTAGGTCAGACTACCATATGACAAAAATGTCTCACTAGCTGATTTTTACAGCCAACTACAGTAAAGAAGATTATTATTTCATTCTCGCATTATGTCTTATGAAATGGTGTTTCATATAAAACACAGTCAAGCAGCAGACATATAAAGAGGTCAGGGAACTAGATGTTTAAATGACCAACATCATCTGCAAAATAAGATGAGATAATCATACTGCATGGTATTTGATCTCATCTCAACTCCATGCAGAACTGCCCTTCATACAGCAGAGTTAAATCTAACTAGCCTTCATAGGCACAGTATATGAGCTCCTGACAGAAAAAGGCTACAAACACAAAATTCATATTTCACATGGCCATCTGCATATTTGACCTACTAGTGAATAAGAAAGATTTTAAAATCAGCTTCCATAAAATATGACAACACATGCTGCTAATCAGTACATCTTCATTCAGCATTGTTCCTCTTCATCAATGCTTGCTTGCAATCAATTTGAGAAACCAACTTCTGTGACAGAGCTTACATAAGATGCAAGAAAATGCAAACAATTAACAACAAAAATCATGTAGAGCAGAGCCTGGTGGCGCAAGCCACATCCTATGGAGTTTGCCACTTCTTTCTTTTCATACTATTAGTCAGA